AGGGAAAGGAGCGAATTGAGAAACACTTTTTTCTTAGGTTGTACTTAACCCCTTCGCTTACCAGCCAATCTCCAAATTTACGGGCCCAAAGCGACACTAAGGTCGGTCGCACGCAGGTACATAAACAACTGTGCTCAGCGTTCGAAACTGAACAAATCACAAAAATCCTATTATATATAATTGCAAGATGTTTGATAAATAATTACGTTGATTCTTAAATAAAAATAAAAATGTATTATTAAAAATATATAAATTTATACATATAATTATAAATTTATATATTTGTGCGAAACGTACAATGTCGTTGCCAATGTCAGTACTACTGGTAGCAAAGTCATCACTGCTTTGTAACTCATCACTAATTTTTTTAAGACCTTATAATGGGTATTTTTTTACAAACTTCTTACAAACGATGTATGTATATGCCTCACCAAGTTTCGGAAATGTTTTATTTATTTTTCGTCCGGTAGACTTACGACGACTCTCAGGCGTTCTATTCGTGTTTGGGCCTATAACATTGAGACGACTCTGAGGCGTCATATTTGTGTTTGGGCCTAATACCTTGCGACGCCTCTGAGGCGTCATATTTGTGTTTGGGCCGATAACTTTGCGACGCCTCTGAGGCGTCTTTGTAAGCGAAGGGGTTAAATGTGGCTCGTAATGAAGATTACTTAACACTAGATTCACTATTCTGAGACATTGCTAGATTGAGGCAATTCCAGAAAGTTTGTGACAGATCCAGAAAGCTTTAGACAAATCCAGAAAGTTTTAGACGGGTCCAGAAAGTTTTAGACAGATCCAGAAAGTTTGTGACGGATCCAGAAAGTTTAAGGCAGATCTATAAAGTTTATGACAGATCCAGAGAGTTTGAGACAGATTTATAAAGTTTGTGACATATCCAGAAAGTTTGTGACGGATCCAGAGAGCTTGTGGCAGATCCAGAAAGTTTGTGGCAGATCCAGAAAGTTTGTGACAGATCCAGAAAGTTTCCGACGGATGCTGAAAGTTTGTGACAGGTCCAGAAAGTTTGTGATAGATCCAAAATGGTTTTAGACAGATCCAGAAAGTTTGTGATAGATCCAGAAAGATTGTGACAGGTCCAGAAAGATTGTGACAGGTCCAGAATGTTTGATATAGATCCAGATAATTTGTGACCGGTCCAGAAAGGTTGTAACAGGTCCAGAAAGATAGCGACAGGTCCAGATTGTTTGTGACTGATCCAGAAATTTTGTGACAGGTCCAGAAGGTTTGTGACGGGTCCAGAAAGTTTGTGACGGGTCCAGAAAGTTTGTGACGGATTCAGAAAGTTTGTGACGGATTCAGAAAGTTTGTGACGGATCCAGAAAGTTTGTGACGGATCCAGAAAGTTTGTGACGTATCCAGAAAGTTTGTGACGTATCCAGAAAGTTTGTGACAGATCCAGAAAGTCTGAGGCAGATCCAGAAAGTCTGAGGCAGATCCAGAAAGTCTGAGGCAGATCCAGAAAGTCTGAGGCAGATCCAGAAAGTCTGAGGCAGATCCAGAAAGTCTGAGGCAGATCCAGAAAGTTTGTGACAGGTCCAGAAAGTCTGAGGCAGATTCAGAAAGTTAGGGGCTGCTGCAGACAGTTTGCTGCTTCTCCAAAAAGTTTGTAGCCGCTCCAGAAATGATCGGAAGCCTCAAGAAATGATCGGAAGCATTCAGAAATGGCCGAAAGCCTCCAGAAATTGTCATGCGCCTCCAGAAATTGTCATGCGCCTCCAGAAATTGTCATGCGCCTCCAGAAATTGTCATGCGCCTCCAGAAATTGTCATGCGCCTCCAGAAATTGTCATGCGCCTCCAGAAATTGTCATGCGCCTCCAGAAATTGTCATGCGCCTCCAGAAATTGCCATGCGCCTTCAGAAATTGTCATGCGCCTCCAGAAATTGTCATGCGCCTCCAGAAATTGTCATGCGCCTTCAGAAATTATCTGATAATAAATCACATATAAAAACCATATGTTTTTACTTGCCATATTAGTTCCTCATAATTCCCAATATTTATTTAATTTGCACGAATTAATTTTTTTGAAGTATTCTAAAACCCTCAGTGCTTATATAAATTTCACAAATCTCTTTTTCTTCTCACGTAGATATTTTCCAGTTACTTTTCATCGACAAAATCCATTTTAATTCAATATATTCGCCGACATCTTCCTCACACACATTTTCAAGGAGAATATTACAAAGTTTATCCGAGCGCAAAAATATATTCCATAGATAATCTATAATATATCTCACTTACACACTAACACAGTGGCGGCGGACTGATTCTTATTTTCATACCGGATGAGCGAAAAGATGCACCGCCAGTGGCGGACGGTCGTAAAATCCTTCCAGTTACAAGGTTTGCAATGATGAGAAAATATTACTCATTACAATAGAAGTGCCCTCCAATGACAAGAGTTACGTTGTTGTTGTTTAAATGTATCTTGAGCTATTTGCCAATGGGGAAAATTTAATTTTCACCCCCCAACCGTCTCTGGTATGCATCTAGTTGCCAGGTTTGAAATGACGAGAGAATATTCTCCACTACAATAGAGATCCTCCTTCGCCTCCAATGCCTCCAATCCACCTCCAATTCTCCTCCATGGATAATATCAAGATATTTTGTATAATAGAGAGAGCAGTTCGCGTTAGAATATTTTTCGAGTTATTCCGTGCGAGAAAAAGTCGTCGGCGCTACTCGAGAAGAAAGGATTAGGCCGGGTGCGCATGGCTAGCGATAAATATATATTTTTGAGTGTGGAATCGATCTCAAAGAAAACAATTTGTATAAATATGAATTATATTTCAACGAGTCAATTTCCAAAAGGGCTGAGAATTTTCTAAGAGTGTTCAAAATTTTCTATGAGGGTTCAGAATATTCTAGGAGGGTCCAGAATTTTTTAGGAGGGTCCAGAATTTTTTAGGAGGCTCCAGAATTTTTTAGGAGGGTCTAGAATTTTCTAGGAGGGTCCAGAATTTTCTAGGAGGGTCCAGAATTTTCTAGAGAGTCCAGAATTTTCTAGGAGTGTCCAGGATTTTCTAGGAGGCTCCGGAATTTTCTGGGAAGACCCAGGATTTTTTAGTAGGATCCAGGATTTTTAGGAGGATCCAGGATTTCTTGGAGGGTTCACTTTTTAGGATTTTGTAGAGGTGCCAAGGATTTTGTAGAGGTGCCAAGGATTTTGTAGAGGTGCCAAGGATTTTGTAGAGGTGCCAAGGATTTTGTAGAGGTGCCAAGGATTTTGTAGAGGTGCCAAGGATTTTGTAGAGGTGCCAAGGATTTTGTAGAGGTGCCAAGGATTTTGTAGAGGTGCCAAGGATTTTGTAGAGGTGCCAAGGATTTTGTAGAGGTGCCAAGGATTTTGTAGAGGTGCCAAGGATTTTGTAGAGGTGCCAAGGATTTTGTAGAGGTGCCCAGAATTTTGTAGAGGTGCCCAGAATTTTATAGAGGTGCCCAGAATTTTATAGAGGTGCCCAGAATTTTATAGAGGTGCCCAGAATTTTATAGAGGTGCCCAGAATTTTATAGAGGTGCCCAGAATTTTATAGAGGTGCCCAGAATTTTATAGAGGTGCCCAGAATTTTATAGAGGTGCCCAGAATTTTATAGAGGTGCCCAGAATTTTATAGAGGTGCCCAGAATTTTATAGAGGTGCCCAGAATTTTATAGAGGTGCCCAGAATTTTATAGAGGTGCCCAGAATTTTATAGAGGTGCCCAGAATTTTATAGAGGTGCCCAGGTTTAGAACAATCTAAAAGAGTTCAGAATTTTCTAAACGAGTCTCTAATCGTTCAAAATAATCTATAAATCTAGAATTACTTAGAAGCGTCTTAAATTTTACATATTCATTTTCACTTATTTATTTATATTTGAAAGTATATCGAGTTGCTGTAGGTCATTACAATGTTTCTAACATAATATTTTAACATAATACAAATTTGTCAAATACTTCATTTACTTCAAACAAACAATTTAAAATTTACAACAGGTACAACAAGGAAATGCATTTTCATCCCGAATTACTGATGTGTTCCACATTCATTATCAATTTTTCAGCGCGATTTTAAAGTATACCGAGTTGCTGTATGTCATTATAATGTTACAAATTATTGTTGGTAATTTAGTTTCAAACAAATTTTCGAAATATTTCATTTTAATTCGATAAACAGTTTAGAAGTTACGAGAGATACAACGACTTCCTTGCAACTTTCATCAGACCGATTTTAAAGGTCATACGTATCGAGTGGCTTTGCTCTTAGTTAGTACAGTAGAATCGCTGAGATGTTACATATTGTGGATAATTTAGTTTTAAACAAATTTCCCAAATATTTCATTTACTTTAAACAAATACTTTAAAAGTTACAAGAGATACAACGACCAAGTGCACTTTTTTGCAACTTTCATCAGACTATTTATTACCATACGTATCGAGTGGCTTTGCTCTTAGTTAGTACAGTAGAATCGATAAGATATCGACACGATAAATTCGAGTCGACGATATAATATCGGTCACCGGCTTCGGATTTACTAAGGCGACGTCTTCGTCGAAGAGATTAACGATCTTGTGGAGGTTAAACTATGAGACTCGGAGGTTCATGTTGGCGGTTGAATTATGGAGGGATTTTTGAAAGAAAAATTTGAAAGGATTTTTGGGAGCTGGTGACAACATATGGTTGTCCCTAGAATAACTTGCAATACTCACAAACGTCAATGGAGTAAGGATATGTGGATAAGTTTCTAGAAGGCTGTTATGTTTGACGATTATAGTTTGTATTGTTTATAGTTCCTAAACCAACCGATTAATATGAATGGTGTGTAAAACAAATTTGTTCAAAAATAATCAACCAACGCATGTTTCTTACAACAAAACACTCTACAAGAACTCTATCTACCCATAAACATCCCTAGAAACAAAAAATTGTTTCTGATTACACGTCCCTACCAATCCCTGAAGATGATTCGAAACGTCTGATTAACAGTTTTTTTTTTCTTACCTTGTACTTCCATGCATCCTGTCTGTTTCCTCATAGGACTTGTGTTAATCTGGCACATGTAGCAACCTCGATCAGTTTCCTTAACCTGCCTAATCCTGAGTTGCCAGGTATTGGAGTCTTCTCGAGAGACCCCAAATCTGGGGTTGTGGGTTATGACTCGGCCCTGAAGGGCCAGGACTAGCTGGTCGGAGGCCCTTAACCAACCGACCTGGGGAAAATAAATACAATTGTGTAATAAATAAAATATAATTCTACAATTTTCTTAAATTTTTTACCTTGTAGTTTCCTAAATTAGAAACCGTGCATGTCAGGACGGCCTCTCTTCCCAGTGCAACTGTAACATTGTTTATTGGCGACGTGAATTCGGGCTCGGAAAAATCCGCGGACAATAATTCACATTTCGATTCTGAAAACAAACAAAAAAAGTATGATAAAATTTGATACAAAATGAATTCATATAGAGAGGGTTTAAAGCATTTTTTTCACAATATTTTGTGACGGGATAAATTTAAACAGAGTTGGGGTATTTGATTTATGGGGTTGTTGGCCGCGAATTGGAGAAAAATTATTTCATATATATCTACAATTAACGCCTCGACTACGAATTAGTATTATTGTGCTAATTTTCATTTGTGAACTAGTTTTCCTTTTCTAGTGTTGTTTTCTATTTTCCTCCAAGCGACTTAATTGCTCCCAATTAATCTTTTCGCGGTTTACTGAAAACATTTAGCAAATGGCATTAACATTAAATAGTAGTCTACTTTAAAATAAATACCTTCTCGTTAATTTTACACTTGCATTCGAAAATTAAACGTTAAATCCTTTCTTAATACGCTGAAATTAATTCTTCGGAAAAAGTTGAGCTTTTTTATACACGAGAGATAGTGTAGAATTTTTATATCTGTTTGCAGTTTGTGTTTTTAATATATATTTGAAGTTTGAAAACGTGGTAGATTAACAGAAATTATAACACATACAATGAATTGGTTCATACAAATATTTTCTTTTGTTTGTACCAATTTTCAGAGATTTTTATGAGTTTGTATAATTGTTTTGATATTTTTACTCGTCTGGACACTTGCAGACTCGTCAGGACATTTTTGGGCACTTTTAGAGACTTTTCAGCACTTTTAGAGACTTTTGGGCACTTTTAGAGACTTTTGGGCACTTTTAGAGACCTTTGGGCACTTTTGGAGACTTTTGGGCACTTTTAGAGACTTTTGGGCACTTTTAGAGACTTTTGGGCACTTTTAGAGACTTTTGGGCACTTTTAGAGACTTTTGGGCACTTTTAAGAGACTTTTGGGCACTTTTGGAGACTTTTGGGCACTTTTGGAGACTTTTGGGCACTTTTACACACATTCAAACATTTTTAGATTTCTTTACACACTTTTAGATACTTTTACACGCTATTACACATTTTTTAATACCTTTACACACTATTACACATTTTTCAACACCTTTACACACTATTACACACTTTTTCAGATACTTTTACACACTTTTGGATTCATTTACACGCTCTTAGACATTTCTATTCACTTTTAGACATTTCTACCCACTTTTAGACATTCCTACTAACTCTTAGACATTTCTACTACCTCTTAGACTTTTTTGTACACTTTGATTACTTTTACATACTTTGATCTAATTTTATACACTTTGATCTAATTTTACACACTTTGATTTGATTTTATACACTTTGATCTACTTTTACACACTTTGATCTACTTTTACACACTTTGATCTACTTTTACACACTTTGATCTACTTTTACACACTTTTACACATTTTGATCTAATTTTACATACTTTGATCTAATTTTACACACCTTTTGGCACATT